CCAGAAAATGTGTCTATACTGACATGTACAAAGGACAACTTTCCAAAACTAGGAATATGAGTTACATCAGTTTGCCAGATGTCATTTGGCTGAAGGCCCCTTGGTTTGACCCCCAGAGAAGGGGAATGGATAAAAGGTGCACAAGTAGGGCATAGGAAGACAATTTTTAAAGCTTGATCCCAGGAACATCCTGAGCGGAAGCGTAACGATTGTGCATTTAGGTGAAATTTATTATGAAGCTGGAGGGCCTTATCATACTCAGTTATTGTATATACATGGTTAGTGGCATGTGTGGCAGCGTCTGCCATGGCGTTGCCCGCTGCCAGAGGGCCTGGAAGCCCAGAATGATTTCTAATGTGACCTATGAAGAGGGGTTCTGCCCTAGCCCATATAAGAAGCTGTACTGTCTGTAGTTGGTCCATGATAGTGGATTGGTTTCCAATATAAGGTGCCGTCTCAATCGCGGAGGCGATCCTGGCGATATAGAGACTGTCTGTGAAAACATTAAGGGGCACCGAGCTATAGGTCTGTAAGGCCAATGTTAAGACTGCAACCTCCGCTTTTTGGGCCGAACAATTGGCCACTCTCTTGCGGATGACCTGGGTCCCATCTGAAACAACAGCAAACCCATTTTTGGCCCCGTCAGTCAAGGCGGTTTGTGCCCCCGGGAGAGGATCCTTTTTTAGGATCTTTGGGAAAATTATTGGACATGTTTTTAGACTTTCAAGGAGCCTGCTTTTAGGGTAGTGATTGTCAACCTGTCCCATGAAACTACAGAAGAATAAATAGGACCAGTCTGCCAAAAGACTCCAATCGGGGTGAGTTTTGATGGCAGAACAATGAATAACAAGGACTAGGAGTAGTCCACCTGCATTACCTGCATCTCTTGTAAGGCTGTCTCTATCAATCTAAGTGCCTTCAAGTCTTCTGGAGTAGGTTTTCACGGGGAGGTGGGTGAGGGGTCTCCTCTCAAAAGGTCATACAGGGGTTTAATCAACAATGTGAATTTATTTACCAAAATTAATCTTTATCTTAAACAGTAAGAATTATTAGGCAATAAGGATCTTTCTTTAAAGAAATAAACTTACATTTTAATAGGTGTTTATCATGTCAAAATATAAACAAAATTTTAGCTCACATTAGTATAGTTAAATTAGGAAAATAACCTGAAATACCCTTAAATTAATTATAGTCAGTTTAGTATATATAAATCTCTTTTTTAATTGTTCTAACTTTTTACATCACCTGTTTAGATAACAATACAAAAATCTTTTATTTTTTAATTAGGCAAATGAATATAAAGACCTTGTTTTATCCAAAGATGATTTATTTCTTCTTTTCAGGATCCATGTGTGCTTTTTCTTTGTTGAAGCATCTTTTTCTTTAAAAATTTTTTTTTCTTTTTTTTTTTATACTTTGGAACAATTTCTGAAAACCTTAGAATCTATAAACACATTATTATACTTTGATAAGAAATATCAATGAAAATATAGTTAAAACCCTTAGGTATTTTGTAGAAATAATTATAATAATTTATCATCTTATGAGTTTAAACAGTAACCTTGAGAGTTAGAAACTACTTGATTGTATTTTCACTTAAAAGCAAATTTATAGTAAACACATTTATCTCAAATATCTGTAACTGAAAAGGCAGAGTATCTGATAAATGTAAATATAAAACATAAATTATGGGTTTTCTGTTGAAGAAAAACAATTAGGCAAATATGTATTAACTAAT